GTTTCAGTATTGATTTTTCTGGTAAGATAAACTTGAGCGTCTGATTGTTTGATTTAATCCCAAATGTATGATATTTGTGGGAACAAAATTTGAATTACATTTGGTGGTGTTGAAGTGCATTGCAATGCTGACTATTGTGAATTAGGTCTTTCATATTCAAAGAGTTCTTTTAACGATAACATCCAGATGTTAAATGATGGCATCACTTTCTTTTAGAAGGAAAATAAGGAAATAGCATTGATTGATTGTTTCAAGGTTCAGAGCTTATGATGATGTTCGAGGCCCCGCTGGGCGGTGGCGACTCAAGGGAAGTGGTGAAGCTTTCTTAAAGGATTAATTACAGCGAGTGGCTGACTTTCTATAGGAAGATCTTTCTTGAAGAATTTCGGGGCTCTATATAATTCCTTTTTTATCCCAACGCATTCAAAAGCATGTTATTGGCTAGTTTTTAATGTCTTATACATTATGTATGACTTCAGTTTCGCTCGGGCTAATTTATCGAGTTTTTAGCATTCTAAGTTAGTTGATTAACACAATGTGGTGAGCAGTATGCAAATGTTTGCACTTTTTTCTATTTTAAAGATCATGATACACCGTAAATTCCTAGAGTTTGAGCTTTGATAGTTAAAGTGTTATGTGGCTTTGTCCCACATTGGAATGTTTTAAAAATTGAAGAAAAAACATTGTCCTACATTGCTTGTGGTGACAAATTTGCTATAAATCCTTCCCTAACATTGTCCTACATTGCTTGTGGTGACAAATTTGCTATAAATCCTTCCCTATGAATTGCTAGCCTTGGGTTGGGTTTTGAGACACACCAAAATTAGACAAGTATTCTTTTCGTATATAATTGTGGGTTACTTGTTTTGCCTTGAGGGTATTTTTGGGAGGTTGAGAGTTGTGGGCTTTCGAATCATTATTCGAGCCTATTTTGTATTCTCTCTTGATAGTGACACTTTGCTCCGCCTTTGCCTGTGGATGTAAGTCATCTTGACCGAACTACGTATATTCTTGTGTTGTTTAAATTTCTCATTCTTACTTTTGTCATTGTTAAGGTTCTGCAAATATGTTTTTGGGGACATATTCCTAAAAAATTGTTATCAGAGCCCTTGTTATATTTGTGGGAATCTTTTGTTACCATACAATAACAATCACAAGGATGGTAGTGGAGAAGTTTGACATAAATGTCAACTTTGGGATGTGGCAGCTCAAGATGGAGGCCAATTTGGTCAAAGGTGAAGTTTATTTGGCTATTTAGGATATTGAAAAAATGCCCAAAGATATGGAGAAGTCCAAATTTTTTTAGCTGGATAAGAAGGCCCGTTCGAGCATTATCTTAAATCTCTCTAATGAGGTTTTGCGGGAAGTTTCTATGGAGACTTCTGCTAAGGCAATGTGGGATAAGCTTAAGGCTTTGTACATAAAGGAGTCTATTGAGAATTGTATGTACCTAAAGCAAAGCCTTTATAAGCTTCAAATGGCGGAAGGTACATCATTACTCTCCCATCTTGATAATTTTGATTCAATTATTATGGATTTGGAAAAAGATCTGGATAGAAAAAGATCTGATTATGCTAGCGATCTGGATAGAAAAAGATCTCTCTCAAGCTATGTATTTTGTATTGGAAGTTGTGCAGTTAGCTGGAAAGTATCTTTACAACCAATTTGTGACATTGTCTACTACAGAAGCAAAATATATGACAGCGAAAGAGGCAATTAAAGAATTTTTATGGTTGAAAGGTCTTTTGGGCGAGCTAAATCTACATCAGAGTACTACTATTATTCATTGTGACAGTCAAAGTGCGATACACTTGACTAAAGACCAAAGGTATAGTGACAGAATGAAGCATATCGATGTTAAGTATCACTTCATCCGAGATATCATTACTAAAGACAAGGTTTGCGTTCAGAAAATTGATACAAAGGATAATCATGCTGATATGTTTACAAATCTCTTCCAGTCCTCAAGTTTAAACAATGCTTGAGTTGGATTGGAGTTCAGTGTTCGTGATTTATCCCGATGGGGCTTTTGTGCAGAAGGTGGAGCAAGCTTACTATTTTGTCAACGTTGGACACGCCAAGGTGGAGATTTGTTATGTGGATTTCTCCCACATTGGAATGTTTTAAAAATTGAAGGAAAACATTGTCTCGCATTGCTTGTGGTGACAAATTTGCCATAAACCCTTCCCTATAAATCAGTAGCCTTGAGTTGGGTTTTGAGACACACCAAAATTAGACAAGTACCTTTCCATATATAATTGCGGGTTACTTGTTTTGCCTTGAGGGTATTTTGGGAGGTTGAGAGTTGTGGGCTTTAGAATCATTATTCGAGCCTATTTTGTATTCTCTCTTAATAATGAAAGTTTGCTCCGTCTTTGCCCGTGGATGGAGGTCATATCGACCGAATCACATATATTCTTGTGTCATTTAAATTTCTCGTTCTTACTTTTGTCATTGTTAAGGTTCTAAATATTTTTTTGGGGCCATATTCCTAACATAAAATCTAGTTCATCATTTTATATAATATGGTTATAATTTCGGTTGTTGGTTTGCACATCGATATGGAAAAAAATGCAAAAATAATGCACACGTCTCCCACTTATAATAACCATTAATTGTAAGTTATGACCATATCAACTAGACAACCTTCCGAATAATTTTTGATTTGCAGTGGATAAAAGGTAGTGAATCCAATAAATATGCAAATATATCAATATAAATGTTAAGTTTCTTCCCATAAAGCTAAGTATGAATGTATTGTTAACTATAGTAAATTGATAAATTTTAATTAAGAAAGAAGTATCCTAAAATCATGTCTTGACTAATATTATCTACAATAAAAATATTTTTTTGAAATAATATTCATTATTACGTATATATACCCTTTTGATAATTTATATTTAACCATCATAGATGCTCCATTAGCGATTAATAACTATTCGTTAGTTTTATCACATACTTTGTTGAAATAATACATTCTTTGATACAACTTTGATATGTTCCACTATCAGAAAATGCTACAAATATTTTTTGAAATCATCAATTTCTAAAAGTAATCATTGAAAAATATTTTTGAAAAGTAATTTTTTCTATAACTCGTAGAAATTGAGAATAATGAAGAATTTCTATTCCTATTTTTATTTCATTTGAGGATGAACTCTCATTATATATGGTGATATCATTTACTATAATTGATACAAGTCTAGCATCGATTTCTACGTCTTATATTTGTAATGAATTGACTTCTTTCTTTATTTTTTAAACTTGAATTTTAATGTGTTAATTTCATTTTGAATTGCTTGTGAAGATTTTTTCTTATTAATGGACAAATAATTTTTTTACTTATTAATAAACAGAATTTGACGGATACTTGCCTGAAACTTTTGTTAAACTAAATGGTTTAACTTACCAGACATGTTCATCTTCTTTTACAACTAAATCTTTTAATTTTGGTAAATAATTTCTTGTGATTTCAAAATTTTGAATTTGATCTATAATATGTAATAAAAAATTTATCTTTTTTTGAGTAATTATATTAATAAATATTATAGACATTACATGAAATATCACTACTTATATCAGATGATTATATGTCATTGCCAGAACTTTCAATTAATAATGAAGCCGCCATTTTGTCTGTTGAATATATATGTTTTTAAAAAAAATTGCTTGTTATTCTTTTTTTTAAAAAGAAAAAAAAATTGCATTTGGTTGCTTTATTACCTATTCTGTCACACTTCCATCATGTTATATTATTAATAATTTTCTTATATATTTTTTAGGATTTTGACATAAAGGGCTATAATTTCGTTTATACTATATGCTTGATAAAAGAAACCTACTTCCCTATGTTTGGAACCATATGAAGATTGAATTTTTAATTTTTCAGATTTGCTAAACCTTCCTTTTTAATGAAAGTAAACAATTGACCAAATGTTTACTACAAAAAAATTGACTTTTTGTAGCAAGTATTTTGTCCGTCAAAATAAGTCTGCTACAAAAAGTGGCTTTTGTTACGAAATTTATCGGAATAAAAAGTTTAATCGTTGGTCAATCTTTTTTTTGTATTTATTTCGATAATTTATCAGTAATAAATACATTTTCGATGGGATGTCATCCTATATAAATTTGTTACGCAATTCAAACAGTAACAAATATCTAAATATTGAAAATTTCTGTATATGTATAAACTATATATAGAATTATTTTAAAATTTTAAAAAAACTTACTTATTTCGGTAATTTATTCATAACAATTCACTACAAAAAAATAGTATATTTGTAACAAAATTTCGTCCTAAAGTTCACGTAGCTAACGTAATTCCATCTCTAATTCCATCTCTAATTCCGTCTCTAATATCATTAGTAACGGAAAAAGTTGATTTAACAACGAAAAAATCTTGTTACAAAATTCATATTCTTTTTGTAGCTAGTGATTACATATTTTGGACAAGATGTTATCATATACATATTTGTTATGCATTTCAAGCCGTAACAAATAAGTTAATATTAAAATTTTCTATTTAAATAAAAAAAATCAATACAAAATTATTTTAAAATTATAAAATATATATATTTATTTCGATAATATATCTGTAGCAATTACATATAAGCTAAGATGTTGTAATATATATATTTTTTTGCAAATTCAATCCGTAACAAAAACTTTAATATTATAATTATAAAAAATAATTATATGCAATTATTTCAAATTTATTATTTAACTACAAAATTTAATTTTATAACTGAAACTAATTAATTTATTATGCTTTATATTTTCATTGCTAATTATAAATTAATTCATAGAAATAATTAAAATATCTTCAATTTCTTCTAATTATTGATTATTTTTCTATTAATATATAATAATTTAAATTAAAGATAAAAATAAAATAAAACTAAACCTGATATAAACATCAAATCCTAGCCGCCGCTCGCCTTCTTCTTCCTCTTACTTTTTCTTCTTTGTTTCCATTTTTTCTTGTTTCTCCTTCTTCCTCCTCCTCTTCTTTGTTTTTTTCTTCCGCCTCTTCTTCCTCATTTCCTTTCTTTCTTCGTTTACTTCTTCTTCTTTGTTTCATTTTTCTTCTTCTCTAGAGCAGCCATTGTCTGCTTGTTCCATTCGTGGTCGCCGATTGATGTCGGAGATGAAAACCAAAGACACCATTGTCACCGATAGGAGCTTTCCGCCGAAAGAAAGAAGGATAAGTTGTTCTTACCGTGTTCTTGATTTTTATTCCTTTTGTGTTCTGCTTCCTTGAATAGCAACAAATGCTTTGTTGATATCTAGTTCAAATCTCATGTTTTGAAAATTATTTAATTATATGTTGTGTTGCTACTTTGGGTTATTCTGATTTTGTGCAAAAAATATGTTATAGATTAAAATTGGAAATTGAAAAAATTCTGTTAGTTAGAGCTGAATTCCAAGATCCAATCACACTTATATGGTTGATTGATGTGGGATATTTGTGGAGAAAACTCTGAGATGAGGATTGTGTATGATAATCTAAGCATTAACATTTGAGTCACGTCTAGGAGAATAACATTACACACTGTAGAAATGCAGTTGGTCCCGTAAGTAACATATACTTGCACTATAATTTTCTGCGATTGATTCGTGTATGTAAATGTATGGAATAAAAGAGTCATTGGAGTTGTGCCGATCTCACCATCCTCACCTTGAAGTCTTCACTGCTTCTAAATGGAAGTATTTATCCTTGCTAATATTATAATATGATACCATGTTTTTTCAAATAATGTATCTTATATTAATAAATCACTGCGGGACTAGATTATTGCAGGCGAATTTTTTATAGCCACTTAAAGACATTGAAACCACAAATGCCAACAAAATTGTACTACACCCCGGAGAATTGCTCTTATGAACGATCTGATGTTTTAAATAGTTAAGTTGCTATTGTTAATTGTTAGAATGCATTTGTAATTATGTTAGGATTTTCTGTACTTGAGTATGCTTTAGTTTCTACCGTCACTAGATAAATAGAGTTGAATTGGATAACATGCTCTGGCACAGTTGCTCATCTTATCAGTTTAGTTTTAAATTTTTTGTTGATATACAATAATGGTTGCATTAATTCTTGGTGAAAGTTAATTGGAGGATGAGTTGATGAGCAATGAAAAACTTTTTTTTGGCTTGTCTCAGGCTCTTCAGAAGTTCCCAAAAGAAACTGATGAGTGTTGAATGTAAATAATGGGGAAAAGACTTTCTATGTCCCCATGATTCACTCTAATAAAGTACTCTTGACACTTCTGCTTTAAGCAAAAGAAAGTTACTAATGGAGTGTTGGCCCTTGATAATTCCAGAAAGAGATGAATCTTGATCAAACTGCCTTAGATGTTTTACCATTATTTTCAAAGGTACGTCAATGTAATTTTTTTTTTGTTTGTGTTGTATGTTTTCTTTGTATTCTTGAATTTCGGTTTAGATGACATTAATGTGATAGGAGCTGCATCTGAGTTAAAGCGGCTGAAAATTTGCAATGCTAGATAAATTCATTTTTTGGATATGCCTTGAACTATATATTGACAATTAAGAGTAGACTGTGCTAGCCCAATGACATGTGTCTTGCTTTGGTTGATGTTGAAATTAGCTTTAGCTCTACCCATGTGCTGATTTTTTTTCACTCTGTTAAATAGCCTTATGGCTGATTTTTTTCCTCTCTGTTAATTGTAGCTCCTCTTCAGTGTCAACCGCAATTGTTCGAAGGCAAAAAAATATGCAAGTATAAGGATTTAGTAGATCAGCCCCTCCCCTCAGCCCCCTCCAAAATTCTGCACCACCAAAAATTCTGCAATCAATGAAGTTTTTCTTGGCTTTGAATGTTGATAATATATAAGTTTGCTTCTTGATTGTTTGTTTGTATATGTCTTGATTGTTGTAGGTTAGATTAGATTGGTTTAGGTTGTTTAATTTCTGTCTAGTTCCTTAACCTTGTTGTTGCATTAGGATAATTTGTGTTCTTCTGTTTCTGGGATTTCCTTGGCTAAGATGGGCTTCTCCTTTAATTAACTTAGATTAGTATGGTTGTAAATCTAAGTTAGTTTTGTGTTTATTTAGTTGTTTAGGTGTAGAACTTGTTAATTAAGCTTGGATTCAATTTTACTCGATGTTTAATATAATTGTTATTTACTAGTAGGTTTGCACTTCATTGTGAAGTTCTAATGAATCAAAGATTCTCATCAGCATTGAATAGAAGGTGGGAGTCATGTCCACACTTATGGAAGCGTGTTTCGTGATTTTATCATTTTCAAATCATTATTCCTTTGGTCGGATAATTTATCCTTGGGAACAACCTGAAGATTATTTCTATTGCTGATGATGAATTTCTGAGTAGCTTTTAGCTCTGAATGATGTTGAGAATCTAGAGGATTTTTTTGATGGTATTATATAACAATCGAGGTTCTGCATTTGTTTGACTATGTGTGAAGCAAAATGAAGATATCAAACTGCACTGATGCTTTTTGAGATACAACATTGTTGTAGCAAGTGCAGCATTTTTTATCATTCATTCTGATTAATGTGTTGCAGAGTAGCATATTCAGGGGTCAGCCTATTTTATTACTGCTTTTCGAGTTTATTTGTTCCTATACTTGTATTTAAGATAGGGTCCCTTGATCAAGCTAAAGCGTAAGTTTTATTTTATTATATTCATCCATAATGTTTACAGAGGCAGACCTTCCTCGTAACTAGCGCTCGTTTAACCTATTTATATAGGTGATACCCTAGCCATTGCTAAGGTGTATGTTACAACTGTAATAGTCCCGGAGACCGCACTTATCCTTTCTAGTAATGTTGGAGTGAAAATTCTCGGTGATGTATGCGACGGAGATAATATCAAGTAGATTTACCAGGATGTACGCATTTTTTTTATTTACTTCATTCCTTTGGAAATGAAATTACTTCAATTTTTTTATTAAATGCTTATATATTATTAAAAACACATTGCAGTTGGTTCGCCGCCCGTGATTGCATACACCATGATCCTGCACTCAACGAGCTGGGTCATTCATAGTTGTATTTATGAGTTGCCCTTAAGATCGTTCTTACGTATGATATCAGATTTATCTATTTACGCATTACTTTTTAGTTTTGTGTATCGTTATTTAGTAGGTTGTTATGTTGGTGTACGGATTGGTGTTTTCTTGGGATGTTTTGTTAGCACCATTGACGACTAATACTTTATTTTTGGCTGGACTATGAAGATCGTTGTATTGATGACCATGTGTAGTATTACTATGGATTTGAAAACAATTATGGTAAGATTAAGTTTTGAATTATTTGTCTCATAGATTAATAATATAGACAAATGGAATTTATTTATGGCGACAAAACTACTATGCCAAACAGGGACGTCCTTGGTAGCGTATTTTTAGTTACGGACAGTGGCCGGTACAAATGGTAATGTATGGTTGCCTGACTTTTGTCATGACTTTTTGTTGCGGACTAATTTTGTAACAAAAACTTATTTGTTTGGGGGCAGTCCTTTTGTAATGTATTGTTGTTACGGATAAATCTTGTAACAAGAAGTTTTCTGACAAGATTAGACATTCGTAACGCTTTTTTTTATTCGGACATATGTCGTAACAAATATTTTTCTGATATTATTCAACTTTTGTTCCGCATTATTTGTATCGGATATTTTTCGATTGAAAAACATGATTGATGTTTTCGTTACATACCAAAAACGTAACAAATATAATTAACACGTGCTTATTTTGAGAGTTGACCACCAAATATTTGTTACGGATTTTGTTGCAACACGGACTTTTTGTACCGCGATTTTTCGTAGCGGTCAAAATCAGTAACAAAGTCGACACAAAAAAGCTATTTTGCACGAAAAATAGGTTTTAGTTACGAATATTTGACCGTTACAAAAAGACCTTTTTTTGGTAGTGGTTATTGATTCAAAATTTATTATTTCAGTTTTTAGTTTCTTTTGAAAATTGTTCATAATTGTTTGAAAAATTAAAGTAGGTAATCCAAGTACGATTTTTTCTTTCCAAAATAAAACATTGCAATCAAGTTTTTCTAAAATATAAGCTAAAAACATATCTTTGTATCATCTACAATATAATAATGTTGGACACTTTAAATTGATTAGAAATACTTTTGATGAATTTAACTTTTCAATAGAATTTTCTACAAAACTACATAGCTATAGTACTTTTAATCAATCAATTGAATCGGGTTTGACTGATATATTTTCTAATTTATCTTCCATCTCTATTTTGTGTTCTAAAATTATAATTTTTATCTTAATAATAAGACAATTGTAACCCATAAAAACTTTATAAAAAGAGTTCATCTTAATTTTTCTAATATTTACTTCTGTAACCCATTCGTTTCCTAATTATTCTTTTCTATAATTGATGCAAGTCTATCCTCAGATTTATAAATCTTTTATTTGTAACTAATTAACTTATTTCTTTATTTTTTTTAACTTGAATTTTAATGTGTCAATTTCACTCTGACTTGCTTGTGAAGATGTTTTTCTTATTAATTGACAAATATTTTTTTTCCAGACAAAGAATATGACAAATACTTACCTGAAAGTATTGTTAAACTAAATAGTTTAGCTCATCAGACAGTTTGATCTTCTTACAACTAAATCTTTTGATTTTCTTAAATATTTGTTTTTTTTTTCAAAATTTTGAATTTGATCCATAATATATAATAAGAAAATAATCTATTTTTGGGAATAATTATATTAATACAAACTATAGCCAATACATATAATTATCACTAATTATATCATATGATTATCTCTTATTGCCCAGACCTATCAATTAATAATGATGCCATTTTGTTTGTTGAATATGTATTTTAAAAAAAAAATTCCTTGGTTTTTTATTTTTTATAAAGAAAAATAAAATTGTGTTTGGTTGCTTTATGACCTATTTTGTCACATTTCCATCATGTTATATTATTACAAGTTTTTTCTTTTTTATAGTTTTTAGTGTTTTGACATAAAAGGCTTGATAAAAGGAACCTTCTTCCCTATGTTTGGAACCATATGAAGCATGTATTTTTAATTTTTCATATTATGCTAGATCTTCCTTTTTAATTAAAGTAAATAATTGACCAGATGTTATTTTCAAAATTTATTATTTCAGTTCTTAATTCATTTGGAAGATTGTTCACAATTTTTGGCCACATTAAATTAAGTAATCTAGTTATGAATTTTTCTTTTCAAAATAAAACATTGCAATCAAGTCTTCCTAAAACACAAGTTAGAAACATATCTTTGTAGCATCTAAAATATGATAATGTTGGGCACTTTAAATTGCTTAGAAATACTTTTGATAAATTTAATTCTTCAATAGGATTTTGTACAAAATTGCATAGCTATAGTAACTTTTAAACAATCAACTTAATCTGGTTTGACTGATATATTTCCTAATTTTATCTTCAGTCTTTATTTTGTATTGTAAACTTATAACTTTATGTTAATAAGAAGACAAGTACAATAATTCCATCTATTTTGAGAATTAGTCAAGTTCATTTCTTAGAAGTGTATTTAATATTTCATACCCACATTTGCTATTAATATTCATTCATAAAGTGATTGACTATCGTATCAACTTATATGAAATTTTAATATTTCTTGATATTGAATATATTGTAATCTAGACTTATTATAGTAATTTTTTTTGTTTTTTCATTTTTCTATTTTGATGATCTTTTGAACTTATTTCTATATATTTTATCAATCTTATTATCTTCTTGAAAATTATTTTCAATTTGGTTAATATTTCTTGATAATTATGATTCTAATTCGATTTCTTCCTGAAGATGAGGAATTAGTTTCTTCATTAGATTACGTGATCTAAACTACAAATTTTAGGTAATGAAGTCTTACATGAACTACCTAAATTAGCTTCTAATTATTAAGAATTTGAGCAATTCTATTTAAAATCATATTATCTAAAGATACTTTTATTGGTTCTTTTGTTCTTTTGGTAAACTTGTTGTTTAAAAGTGACTTGTTGGAGATATCATTAAGAAGATTTTCTTTAGGAATTGAATATATTTTTATTGTAATTACTCTTAAATGACTAGTCATTGTATGTAACAGTTGATTTTAATAATTATTTTTGATGATATATTTTTCTAATATTTCTCTATCTACGTGTTCATTACTATTTTTATTTTTTTAATGAAGAAATTTTAATTTCACATTTTTTAGTGTCAATTTTAATTGATTGAAAAAGTGCATAAACACTGGTAAACAGTAGTAGTGTTAGTTAAATTTCATTTTTTTTGTAAAAAATTGTTTGTACATTAGATTAAGGAGTTATGTAAGGATTAAGAATTCCTCCTTTACTTATCCAATATGAAAACCGTATAAAAAATGTTCATATTAATTTTTCCAGTATTTATTTAATTAATCCACTCATTTTTTAATTGTTCTGTACAAAAGGAAGTAAATTTTGAAAATCATTCTTTTCTCTCTTTATTTTGTAAACTATTACATTGTTCTTCTAGATTTTCTAATTTTAGTTTAAATTTAGAACGTATGATTACAGTTATTTAATTTTTCATTTGAGAAAAAGTTGGTGAAATAAGAGGTGAATTAAAAAGTTATAGAATAGGAGTTTTATAATTAAATTTTATTAGATATTCTAATTGAACTGACTTTGTACATTGGGAAAATGAATGTCTAGATAATTCATGTATTTTAAATAAAACTATTAATGTTGAATAACTTATTGAAGGTGTTCCTCTAGATGAATAAATATTAGTAATGACAAATTTGGTTATTCTAGAATTTTTTCAAATTCTAATCTTTCTAAATTTTCAGGAATTCAAGGGGTTGATATCTGGCATTGAATCTTAATCTATCTTTTACGAACAAATACAAAATATTGGTTAACTTCTATTTGCAATAGTATAGTTTCTTCTTTATTAGTAGGATTTACACTAAATTTTGAATTTGATTGAGAAATCATTCATCTAAATTAAATTTTATATACTATAGCAAAATGTTTTACTAAATTTTTCAAATTTGTCACCATTTAAATTAATATCTAATACTAATGAATTTTGTATTAAGGGATCTATCAAATCATTTGAACATTTTGATGGACAATTAAAATATATTTGACCATTAAATATTAGTTTCAAATATGGCTAATAATGATTTGTTATATATTTTTAATGTTTTATCTCTTACAGATAAAATAGTTGGAACATGTACTTCTAAATAAACTAATAGTTTTTACAACCACTTCATTTAATCCAAATATATATATATATATATGTATATGTATCCTTTGTTAATATATGTTTGTAAAGACACAATTTATAATAAAGTGATTGTTTGGTATCCATCTTGTATAGACGACACTTCTTCATGAGTTTTTATAGAAAAAACTGTTTTAAAATCTAATGAGCATATTTTGTGGAGGAATTATCCAATTTGAGTATTCACTCATAACAAATACATAAACATAAAAAATTAAAAATTCAAATTAAAAATTACTTAATATTCACTCACTACCAAAAAAATGGCCTTTCACCACGGCCCGAAGGTTCATAACAACAACATCGTAACAAATAGTGGTTTTAGTTACGAGAGTATCCGTGACAAAAAAAATGTCGTCCTGGTCAACGGTTCAAGTTTATTAGTTACGCAAAAAAATATGTAACAAATAGGGAGACTAGACTTTGGTCAAAATAACATTAGTTATGATAGTTTTCCGTAACAACTGGTCAAAATAATATTAATTAAATTTGCAATAAAAAAATAAAAAGAAAAAGAAAAAGGTAAAAACGTAAGTGCGCTATAAACACCCTTCTAGAGATCTAGGGCATCATATTTCACTTTCTGGTACTTAGAAAAATCAGACAAATTTAGGGCATAATATTTCGTCCCCTCCAACGATCGACGACTCTCTTCTTTCTTTCGCCGATGCGATGCGCATAGTTGTGGGATTGAGCAGGTAGTCCGGCGCCGTCCACCAAGTAATGTTTTAAAGTTTTCTCCCGTATATCTTTTTTCGAATCACAGTTCTTCATCTTTCCTATATGGAGAAACCGAATTAGGGATTATTAATATTCAGCTTCTTCCTCAGGTTGATACAGAGCTCTGCTTTGGGGAGTATCTTGAGGTACGGAAAGATTTCTTACTCATTGTTACAATTTGTGTATGAACATAAGTATTTAGCCCAATTTCAATTTTTATTTCTGGGTATATATTGTTCTTTCCTGATATCTTGCACTAACTCTCAGATTTCACAA